ACCACAAACTCATATGGCATCTGGTACTGAAGGTTGTCTTTGTTATGACATCTTTTTAATTCTTAATTGATGATAATCCGATCATGTATCAATCTTTGAAAATACATAGATCTCTTCCAATTGATCAAAAATATCATCAATCCATATCAACTAGTATTTGCTTTTTTATTTTTGTTTAATTCTCAATTATCAATGCATAATCTTAGGCTCCATCTTTCTTAACCAAAATCACTAGAGCTCCACAGGGGGATGTACTTGGTCTGATAAATTATTTCTCCAATATGTGTTATAACTAGCTCTTTAATTCTTCCAGCTCCTTAATTGCCATCATGTAGGGTGCCTTTGCTATTGGTTTTGCATTATGCATCAAATTAATGGTGAAATATCTCTCTTTTTTTGGAAGTAAACCTGATAACACATCTAAGAAGGCTTTTGGGTACTCATTTACTAGCCAATTCATCCCTAAGATTACTTCAACTTCGGTTAATGTTAACACTATCAAATTCGTCTTCAAGCTTCTTCCACAGAGTCAGACTCACACAACAGATTCTATTAGTCTCTATGCATGACCCATTATGCAGATTGACTAATAAGACATCAGTCACCATGAATGAGTCCAATCCTTCGGATCTCACAAACTCTTCAAAAATAAAGGAATGTGATACTTTAGTATGAAATAAAATTTTGACCAACTTATTTTGGATCGATACAATACTTATAATAAAGAGAATATAAACTTCTAGTAATAATTGAAAATTTGTCAGATCTACTGAAATAAATAAATGTATGTAATGTGGCCATGTAAGTCCTTTGTTTTTTTTTGAGGTAGTGCATAAACTCGAGGTTGCACTCCTTTGCGGGTCTGACTCATAGCTAGAGTTGACTTTGACGACTCAATTTACCTATATTTGCCAAAACTTATCCGAGGAGGTGGAGCACTTGCTCTGGTATCTACGAAATTCCTCTAACCCAAAGTAGGACATGATCTTGCTATATGTCCTAGCTATTGCCACAAAAAATAGGTGTTGATACCCGATATATATTCTTTTTAATACGCTTTTTCACACTTGGCATAGGTCGTAACATTGCTATTGCTGCCACTAACACTACTATTGGATTTAAGCTTCTTCAAGATGAGCTACTCAAACTGGGTGGCTTGCTCAGATTTGGACATCTCATCGCCCTTCTTCTAAAAATCTTTACGCCTCTGCATAGCCAGTAGATCAACTCTGTCCTTCTCACTCTCAACCAAAATTGAATAATCCTCAATGCCTAAAGAAATTAAAGGTTCTTGATAACATCCTTCAATCTAGGTAGTGACACTTTTCTTCTGCAATAGGTATTAGTTGTGTTGTATATCTAGATAGCATTGTAAAATCAATCTCATATTGCATGATAGATTGATCACTTTGCACTATTCTAATGAATCTATCTTGCTTTTGCCTTCTAGTTGAGAGAGGTACAAACCAGTCTTGAAATGCCTTCACAAATTTCTCCAATTGGATTAGACTGCTGTCATCTCTCAAACTTCTCCTGTAGCTTCCCTTGCCACCAACTTTATGTTTCTCTTTCAAAATCAAAGGAGGCTAATGTAACTCTTCTCTCCTATGGGCAGGGTATGATGTCAATGATTTTTCTATCCTCAATATACAATTCTAAGTCTCCACGGGAACTACTGAACCTGAGAAGAGTGGCAAGTCTCATATTTTCGAATAACTTTATATACTTGTTCATCAGTGTTTTTCCGCTACTACTGGCTTATGTTTGAGAACCTTGAATGTGTCAATGTTGTCATATTCTGAGTCAATACTTTCACAGGAACATTAGCACAACTGGATGAGGGATCAGTAAGTGTTGGAGGTGCCAAAATCTATTGTTCAGCAGCTTTTGTCTCCTTAATATGCTCATTTATATTCTCCAATTTATATCCATTTCCTTAAGATATGAGAACTTTAGAGTTATTATTATGAATATTAGAATTGTTATTTTATTTTTTACTGACAATTAATGATTTTTCTAATAGCTCTTGTAGTATGATTATCTCTCTAATAACATTATACTTAGGACGAGCTTTGATATCACTTTTGTCACGACTCGGCCGGAGCTCAGAATACCAAGGCGGGAATAGATGGTCAAACGGGTAAAAAAATTATCTAAATAGTTTTATTTGCCAAATAAGAGATTCGAAAATATAAAAGAGCCATTCTCTTACACAAACTTTAATTTATAATAGTTTATTCATATTTAAATTTTATGATTGAAAGAAAATAAAGCCGAATTGTATTACCTACCTCCTCAGCTCCTTGACGTTTCTACACATGCTCTAAGATCCATCTATTGTAAACATGTTTTCTTGAAAAATATTAATAGTTGAAAGTATGAGTTAAACTAATTAGTAAGTAAAATTTCACTGAATTATAACAATTTTTATTTAAAAAAAATTACTTTGAAAAAAAAAATTGAATAGGAAAAGGGAAAACAGTTAAGAAATCATTTTTCTGGTTATTTATTTCAGTTACAATATCTATCAGTGAGAATCACCGTTTAAACATATATTAAAAGTATACGTTTAACCTTTTCCAAAACCCACAAAAAAAGTAGACAATTATTTTCATTTTATGTGCATGAGTACATTGCACCTTTATCTTTGAGGGTGATTGCACAAATGCTTACATGTATGATATTTTATTTATATGTTTTATTTGACATCTTACAAAAACATAAAACTTGCATTTCTAAAAGAGGGTGCTTAAAAAAGTGAAAACAGTTGAGGATGAAAAAATCTCAGTATATTTTGCGGTTGTTTCTTTCTGTGCTTGTAGCACGTAAAATATTTGCTCAAATATCCCTCTTAAGTGCCAAAAAAAAAAGCCGCACAACAGGAGAAAGCCTCATTTTCCCTTTTTTTCCTTCCTCTTAGCGAGATTTTCCCCTTTTATAGGTAGCGGATGTGTCTCCTCCTTTCTTCTTCATGCATAAGACGCACACGAACCAAAACTTGCACGCATGCACCCTTGCTGCGAGTCACTCGAGCTTTGCCAGGCCACGGAAGACTCTGCACTTACGCACCCTACTCGGTTTCTCCTTTCTTCTCCTCATTTTCCTCTTTCTTAGTCAGGGCACAGGCTCGCTCGATTTGAGCTTGCGAGCCGCTTCTTGCACTTGGAGCGAGCTCACCTTCTCCCTTCTGCCCTCAGCTTGCGGCTCACAACAATCGATAGACTCGCTCGAACCGCTCACATGCATGTAAGCTCACGCTTCTCCCCTTTCTTTTCATTATTTTTTTTATTAGTATTATTATTATTATTATTATTATTATTCTCCCTTTGCCTCTCTCGCTCTCTCTTCTTACATACTCTCCCTCGCTTGCTGCTCTTGTGCGGTGGGTTTGAATAAAAGAAAATGAGGGATATGCCCTCCTATTCTTTCCCACAGGCAATGGGGGTGACAATTGAATGCAGCTGTTGTGAACAAATCTTTTAAATTTTTCTTAAGATAAATTAATTACATGCTAAAAGATTATTTTCACAGATATACACTAAGATGGGAGTATTTAACAATGGTTGGTGGACTTGGATGGTTTTCTTAACACTATGAAATGCATAGTAAGAGAAAAGCGTATAAATAGACATCAGACTTTTTACAAGGGGCCATTTTAGTTCTAGAATCTATAAAAATGTTAGTATAGTCCACATACATTTTTTAATAAGAACTGAAATAGTTCCAATTGAGGGTTATTTCAACCCCAATTTAAAGATTTTGAGGACTAATTCGACGCTTTTATTGCCCCTGTACATAGTCGAAGGGACTATTTTGCCACTTTGCATGGTACATATCATTAGAACAGTTTTATGGACCATGTTCTGTGAAATATATCATTTTTGTTGCATTGGTATTCTGATGAACACTGGCATTTACTTTGTCCATGCTAATGAAATTTTGGACGTTCTTTTCAAAAATGCATTTGTTGATCTTGCATGCAGACAATTTTGCTGACCCCAATCTTCACACTTTTAATCCGTAGGTGCTCCTGAATATAGACGTTATTGATTGACTAATGTTTTGTGTGAATTATTTTCACATAATGTCATGTTTACAAAGTGTCAGTTTGCGTATTATCATGTGGGAAAAAGATTTAAGCGAAATGGAACTGCATAAATTTACCAAATCAGCTAAACCTTAACTAATATAGATTCAAATTCACTAAAATATACCCATTCTAACTGAAGTTGCAAATAAGCCTATAAATTCTAAAAAATGTCATAAATGACCATCTATGAACCCAAAGACTGGTTAAAATGGAAATTGAAGAAAACCATGAAAAATTGTTCAAAAGTGGCATGTTCGCTAGGTTTGCTGTTATTGTCACGCATCCTCTTAAAGACATCTAGGGCTTCTCTGACTAAATCTATATGAAAGAAGGTCCTTGTAAGTTTTCATAACCAATAAAAGTAGGCCCAGACAAAACAAACTTACAAATAATCCTTTAAATTCCAGTAAATGACATTAATGGCCATATATGGACCTAAAAAAAAATTGGAAAAAAAAGTTCATTAAAATTTCTTCGAATTCAGCAATTTGATCAGGCGTTTTTAACACTGAGAGGTGGGCTAGACCATTCTCAATAGAATGAGCCAATGATATACACCTACCAAAAAAAAATCCAATTAGACTTGGTGTTCGTGTAATAGTTTTCTTCATTTCTAGTCTAGTTTTTTTTTTAATCAGATCATCATGAAGCATTTTTCTCTGTAAACAGAGATCATTCATGATGTTCAAGCAAGTCAATCTTTGATAGCGTATACTAAATATTACGTTGTCTCTTCTTCTTCTGGACATGTGCCATTAGGCACTTATTAAAATGCCATAAATTGTTCTTGAACAGCTCTATATAATAGAAATTCATTCAAGCACCGAAAATTATATTCTTGTCAATAAAAATCTTGTTTCGTGAAGGCATATTCTTAGCACTTGTGTGTATTTCTGATTCATGCTTTCAGAACCATAATGGAGATAAAGGAGTCAGAACAGAGAGCTCGGATGCAAGCTGAGATATTAAAAAATGCTTTAGACGAACACAATCTTGAATTGAGAGTTAAAGCTGCCAATGAGGCTGAGGTCGCATGCCAGCAAAGGCTATTTGCTGCTGAGGCAGAAATAGCTGAATTACAGGAAAAGTTGGACACTTCAGAAAGGTTAGATAACTATTTATATATCATTATAGTATCAGGTTTTCATTTAATGCATGCATTTCCTGTTTATAATCTACCTTAGATCTATGTTTAATTGTATGAGAGAAATCAGCTTTTGAGTTTCTACCTTATGATATCATGTTTATTCAAATGTTTTGAGTTAGAGATTCTGGGGTCTGTTTTGTAAGGTTTCCTGAGCTAAAAATCTGGAGGGTATTTTAAAGAAAATTTTAGCTTTATAATTTTAATCGCCTCTATATTGCTGTTTGCATTGAGTTATGGTTGGTCATACATATTACTTGTAGCGTGTTCTGGTAGTATGTCTGCTTTTCAATTTGCTTATAAACTTTTTTCATTGTTCTTTATTTTAATTCATTCTCAGGGATCTTTTGGAGCTTACAGAGTTTATAAGAGTTAAGGATGAGGAAGCTGAGGCTTATATTTCTGAAATTGAGGTCAGTTTGTTTTCCATTAATCAGTTTTCAATCTCTTACCTTTGTGGCAACGATAATAACTTCAGCTCACAGACTATTGGGCAAGCTTATGAAGATATGCAGTCGCAACATCAGCGTTTAACTCTAATGGTTGCAGAAAGAGATAAGTACAATATTGAGGTATGTGGCTAATTTCCTATTGTTTTCTGTTTATGTTTTCTCCATTAAACTTATGACAGAAGAACCAAGCATGTTGCTAATATGCAGAGAAGATGCAAATTTTTAACACTTGTTTGCAATTTGGGACATGGGCTGAATGTTAAATATCCGTGAATTACATAATTTTATTCTAGAAATTCTGATTCAAGAAGAAAGAAAATGAAAAAAATGATGGAATAATTAAGAAAAATGCTCATTAAGAATGTCAGAGGGAATCTCAGCGTGTGCTCTACTTATTATTTAATTTATCTTGGCAATGGAGTGGTCCCTTTGTTTGTAAAACAGAAATTTCATCCTTCGTTCATATTTTACTTGAAGCTTCAGAGGTTTTCAGCTAAAGTTTCTGTGCATAATATATTTGGTTTAAATGTGAATTCCTTTGTTAGCTGGGTTAAGTTTTGTATTTTCCATTCCTGAGCAAATTGATGAGGACTATGGGTGTTCTTTTTGTGATATTAAATCCTAATATAACAAGCTCTATATGGACTTTCATAGCCTGCTTGCTTAGGGCATAATTCACTGGATGTTTCTTCTGTAGTACTTTGTCTATTTAGTTCTTCACATATTATACTTCTGAAATTTTAGTTACATTATACCCTTATGACAGTTTGGACATGACATTAGTAGGACCTAAACTAGTCCAGACAGGCTCAACTCAGGCTTTAGTTTTCATCTTAGCTTGTGAGACATTCAAATTTATTCAAGCACTACTGGGTCTGGATTTAAATTTTTTGGTCTAACACCTACCTTAGAAACTATGAAGTATGAACTGCCTTTAATTGATTTTTTATAACCCTCTTAAATTTTATGGATGCTTGGATACAAGGATTATAGATATGAAATGTATGAAGAAACAATGTTGGATACTTCAACAGCTCATTTTGAAGGATTCTGAAGGGAAATGTGATATATTTCCAAGTTTATGCTACTTGAAATTTAAATTCCAAGATATAGTGATTAATCTTATAGGGTAATCACTCTACCGTCTCTGTTATGTTTTCTTACTGTGCTTTTACATATGTATTAAATGCTACCCTTTGCTTTGCATTTTTAATATTATGTAGAGAGATCAGCACATCTACTCTTATCTTTTCATAAGATTCATTTATTTATATCATTATATGTTGATATACACATGTTTGTATGCCTCAATGCTCGTTAAGCATGCATAGTAATTTTCATTATCCCTTGTCAATTCATCATACTCTGGCAAACTATATTCTCATAAACAATATATATATATATAT